ATGATCCCTTGATGATTCTAGGTTTTCCTCTCCACTTTCTCTTCTCTTTCTCTTCTCCTCTTTTCTTTCTCTTGTTTTTCTTCTTATGTTACTATCTTTCTTTCTTTTCCTCTCTTATTCTATTTCTATCTCTATTTCTTTCCTCTCAAATTCTTTCCAACACTTACCAATCAATTCTCACACTAAATTGCTAAATGTCTAAAATGCCCTTTTTACTCTAATTCCCCGAAAACTCTCTGAATCGGTAAAATAGATAAAATAAGCAAACACCACATAGTAATATATAATTTCTCAATTTAAAACAAACATCAATTAAATAAATTAAAAGACTCAACAATTAATGGGAATTCAGAATCGGGGCGTTACATGAGACACCTTAGGTCTCTCCATGAATCTAAGAACAATACCGACAATAAAAATACCAAGTTTGGTTGCGTATTGCACAAGTACCGCAATGATCCAATCAATCTCCTATATTGCATTGGATCTACATCTTGCTCATCCTCACTCTTGGACAACTATAACCTTGCTTCACATGATGTAATAGCCTCATTACAATGCTCCATGTCACACCTCTTCAAGATCTCAAGAGCATATCTCCTTTGATGCATGAGCAGTCCTGTTTTTGACTTGTGAAACTCTATGCCAAGGAAATATGTCATAATACCAAGGTCGGTCATCTCAAATCCATCCATAAGTTCACTCTTGAACTTAGAGATAGTCTTCTCACAATGTCCGGTGATCAATAGATCATTAACATACATGCAAAGAATGATCACACCATCATTTGCATCCGTCTTCACATAACTCTGTGTTCGAAGACACACCGCTTGAAACCAATATCAATAAAAAAAACCATCAATGCGTTTGTTCCAAGCTCTTGGAGCTTATTTCAAACCATATAATGATTTATTCAATTTGTATAACTTTATCTCTTGATTCTTTACTACAAATTCGGGGGGCTGCTTAACATAAACCTCTTGGAGCTTATATAAATAAAAAATGCATATTTGACGTCCATTTGATATATTTTCACAATCGTTGTTATTTGTAATTCCAACAACTAATAAGATGGTTTCTAGCCTAGCCACAGATGCAAACACCTCCTTAAAATTTATACCTTCACGTTGCAAGAATCCTTTTGCTATCAATCGAGCCTTATGCTAGATCACCCCGCCTTTGAGATTTGCCTTCACTTTATAGACCCATCGCACACCAATCGGCTTCTTTCCAAGCGGTAAATCAACCAACTCCCAAGTACCATTTGTTTCAGTAGATTCCGGCTCCTCATTCATTGCAAAAATTCACTTTGGATCACTTAGAGCATCCTATGTGTTCTCCGGTTCGGATTCGACCATAAGCGCAAAGTGGAAAAAATCACCATCATCATTGATTTTGTTGTCTCGAAATCTCTCACATTCTTGGAATATTTGAGGTAACATCCTTTGCCTTGTTGATTTTCTAACATTCTATTCATTTTGAACCTCAATCGGTGGCTCAACGGTTGTTTTGGAACTGACTGGATCATAAAAAACAAAGTTGTTGGAAGTCTGTTTGTTCTGCATGTAATTGGTTACACTAGAATGATCTGGCTGGGTGTAACCGGTTAGACCCCTGTCCTGCAGAAGTGGAATGCTTATTTTTTTGCATGTAACTGGTTATATCAGAATGCACTACCTGCATGTAACTGGTTACCCTGGGACTTGCAACACGTATTTCATCAAAAATCACATCGCGGCTGATCACAATCTTTCGATTTCGCGCATCAAATAACTTGTATCCACCAGTAAAGTGATATCCTACCAATATCATCTCCTCACCCTTGTCATCCAACTTCTTTCTAAGTTGACCCGGCACATGTCGATACGCCACCAAACTCTCAAATGGCTTAGATTAGGTTTCAATCCAGATCATATCTCTTCTGGTGTCAGTTTCTCAAGCTTCTTAGTACGGTACTTATTCAACAGATAGATGGTTGTAGACACCGCTTTTCCCTATAGCTCCTTTGACAAGTTATTTCCACTTAACATGCTACGAACCATGTTCATAATTGATCAATTTTCCTCTCGGCAACACCATTTTGTTGTGGTGTATATGGTGGTATAACCTCATGCACTATCCCATCTTGGTCACAAAACCTCCCAAAGTCATTTGAGACGTATTCACCTCCATTGTTCGTTTTGAGCACTTTGAGTTTTTGGCCGCATTGCCTCTCCACCGTGGACTTAAAATTATTGAACACATCAAACACCTCATTCTTCCTTTTGATAAGGTAAGTCCCTAGCTTTCTACTAAAATCGTCGACAAATGTAACAAAATACATATTTCCATCTAACGTGTCAAATTGCATTGGCCCACATACATCGGAATACACCACCTCAAGGTGAGCTTTGGTCCTATGACCCGCATCCTTCTAAAGCTCCCATTGTGTTGCTTTCCTTTCACATATTCTTCACACAACTCAGCTAGAATATTAATGTGTGGCAGCCCGGTAACCATACCATTTTGTTGCAACGCTTTGAGATTGTGAAAATTGAGATGTCCAAGATGGTAGTGTCATAACAATTATTCTTAGCTTCCCGATATAGCTAAACACCTATACTCCATCACTCTCAACTCTATCTTGAAAGTTCAATTGGCAGTCATATGAGCTTTAAGGACTAAAACCCCGTTTCAGTCTAAAGCACGCAAAATCTTGTTTTCCATTCAAATCATGTAATTCTTCTCAAGCAATTGGCCAATGCTTAAGAGATTACACTTAATTCCTTGAATATAGAGTACATCTTTGATCAAGGAATGACCATCATCCTTTCTCATGATCAAAACATCACCGACCCTTTCGGCCGCTAAAGTAGTATCATCCGCGAATTTCACCTTATTCTTCGTGGCTTGATTGATTTTGACAAACCAATCCTTTCCACGTGTCATATACGTTGAACAAACAGAACCCACCACTCATCACTTCCTTGGACTTCCTCTCGAACCGTTACCATAACTTTTTGCTCAAGACGCGTCTCTGCAGTATTTTTCGAACTATTGTAGTTGTTGTCACACAACTTGAAGCTACTACTGCTGCTTCCCAACAACTCCTTAGTGCCATAATTCTCCTTCGTGATCATAAAAAAAAGCGTGTTTTCATCATCCACCTCTTACCTCACGACTTTAGCTTCATCAACTTGTTTTTCCCTTGGTTTAACGTTACAATCTCTTGCGAAATGACAAAGTCTATGAAAATTGTAACACTTCACCTTACTCTTGTCATTTGTCTTGAAGTTGTTGCCTTGACCACTATCTTTGAAGTTGTTATCATCTCTTTCTCCCATCGAAACCTTCAAATTTTGTGGATCTCTTCCACCCGAATTCTTAAAATTTTGCTTCCCTCTCGAAGCCCATTTCCCTTTCGATCTTTTACTCTTCTCGTTGAATCGCGATTGTAAAGCAATCTCTGCTTTAGCTTTATCATTTCCTCTTTCGTCCATCCTTTGCTCATGAGCCTCAAGAGAACTTTGGAGCTCATCTTTGTTCAACGTCGTAAGATCCTTCGACTCTTCGATAACCATTGCAATATTGTTGAATCTTGATGTTAAAGAACGTAAAATCTTCGACACAATATTCTACTCCAAAACAGTTTCTTCACACGCCTTAATTTGATTCACCAAACGTGTAATACGCGTTACGTAATCATTTACCGTTTCCTTCTCTTCCATTTGCATTAACTCGAATTGTCTCTTGTGAGTTTGTAATCTCACCACCTTTACCTTAACAGCCCCTGCATAAACTTTTTCCAAGATCTCCCAAGTTTGCTTTGCCGACTCGCAATCGCCAACTTTCTCGAAGTTGTCATCATCAACACAAGAATGAATCAAGAAGAGTTCCTTGTAATCTTTCTTCTTTTCTTCCTTGAATGTAGCTTTCTGAGCACCGGTAGCTTCTGTCCCAAGTGGTGTGACTCTATTGTTGATCGCCTTAAGAACTTCTTGATGCCCAAACAAAACTTTCATTTGCTTGAACCACTTGTCATAATTCTTTGAATCAAGAATCAGAAGATTGGTGGGGATTCTATCGTTAGAAACGATATTCATTGTTGCAGCAGATTAATTGATCAGAACTAGTGCCTTTGATGTCAAATGTTAGAGCATACAAAACTTCAATGGTAAATCAGTGGAGAATTGAGTTAATTTGGAGAATATTAATTGAGAAAATTAAGAAAAGAAGAGAGAGAGAGAGAGAGAGAGAGAGAGAGAGTAACTGAGAGTGAGAATTAAAATTAACATTAACCTCAAACGGGAGTACTGAAGGCTATTTATACAACATATCTAAAATTGGAAAAACACAAAACAACTTTTAAAGAAAAGCTGGAACTAAAAAAACTCTCAATGTAACCAATTATCAGATTTGGAATAATCGATTACACTCCATTTCAGTAACTAACTAACGTGTTTTTTTAAAACATGTAACCGGTTATCACATATCTAATAATCGATTACCACTTAAATATTCCAAAAATTAGTTTTTAATAAAAATTTATACAAGGAAGATGAAGTTTTTTTTTTTAAAGAGGATAAAGATGAGTTGCAATCACTATCCATTTAACATTATTTCATTAAAAATTTGTCATGTTGCCTACTAAATTAGTTTTTGAGAAGAGAAATTAATATCTAAAACATTTTTTTCAAAATTTTTTTTATAAGAATTAAAATTGAGTCGTAAAATATTTGTAGACCATAAATATATTTAACTCATATTTTTAAAGGAAAAGGAAAAAAATGCTATTAATCCCTGATAATTTTATCTATTTAATCTTTGAAATTCCAAAATGAATAACTAAAATAGAGAACTAAATTTCCCATACTAAACTTGAGATGATAATTAGATTTTAATTTTTAAGATATATGTTCTCTCTCATTTAGTTCACAAAAAATAAAACATAAATTGAGGTTATAACAATGTCCACCACACCACTCATCATCTATCTCCATCACCTACCTTTTCATTCTACAATGAACAACATGCTACTCAAATCTCCATCTCTAACCCTACATCATCACTCCACCATTCCTATTCAAAGACCCTTTTACCCTTCCACCATTCTTCCACTACCATCAAAACTCACAAATCCCTTCCATGCTTCAAACATCTCTTTACCTATGAAATGTTCCAACTCTTCCATGAATTCCACCAACATGCAACCACCCAAAACCATTGAATTTGAACCCGACCCATCACTCACAAACGAAGATCTAAAACCAACAACACCAACCCAAAGAATATTTTCAGGACTCGAAATAGCTTCCCTTTGGGTAGGACTAGTTGTTGGTGTCCCATCTTATTACCTAGCTGGTTCCTTAGTCGATCTAGGCATGTCATGGTGGCAAGGTATCTCCACAGTTGTTCTTGCCAACATCATCCTTTTGTTCCCTCTCATCTTAACTGGCCATGCAGGTACGAAATATGGCATATCATTCCCAGTTCTAGCTAGATCCTCCTTCGGTATCCATGGTGCTCACATTCCAACTCTTCTTAGAGCTTTAATCGGTTGCGGTTGGTATGGAATCGAATCATGGATTGGTGGTGAAGCAATCTTCATTCTACTACCAAACTCCTTAAAAAAAATCACTTTTTTATCAAATAATCTACCTTGGCTTGGTACTTCACCTCTTGAATTTTCTTGCTTTATGGTCTTTTGGGTGGCCCAATTGGCTATAGTTTGGAGGGGTGTTGATGGAATTAGACAGCTTGAGAAATTTTCAGCTCCAATTCTCATTTTTCTCACTTCATGTCTTTTAGTTTGGTCTTATGTTAAAGCTGGTGGATTTAATCACTTATTTTCTTTATCTTCTAGACTCACAAATTCAGAGTTTTTCTCAATTTTTTTTCCTTCACTTACTGCTAATATAAGTTTCTGGGCTACTGTGGCACTTAACATACCTGATTTTACTAGATATGCAAAATCTCAAAAAGATCAAGTTATTGGTCAAATTGGGCTACCAATTTTCATGGGCTTGTTCACATTTGTTGGTGTAGTGGTTACTTCATCAACAAAAGTGATTTTTGGAGAAGTGATTTCAAGTCCAATTCAGCTTCTTGGTAGAATTGGTGGCTTTTCAACTAGTGTACTTGCAATAGTTGGTATAAGTCTTGCAACAATCACAACCAACATTGCTGCTAATGTTGTTGCACCAGCAAATGCTCTTGTTAATCTCAACCCTTCATGGTTCACTTTTAGAAAAGGTGCTTTTTTAACTGCAATGCTTGGAATTGCTTTTCAGCCTTGGAGACTTTTGAAGTCAAGTGAGAGTTTTGTTTATACTTGGTTGGTTGGTTATTCTGCCTTGATGGGTCCTATTGGAGGGATTGTTTTGGTTGATTATTATGTTGTGAAGAAAATGAAGTTGAGGATAAGTGATTTATACACAAGAAGTGCTTTTGGGAAGTACTATTATTATAAGGGGTTTAATGTGGATGCAATTGTGGCCTTAGTTGTTGGAATTTTACCTGTTGTTCCTGGCTTTTTGCAGAAAGTTGGAGTTGTGAGTTCAATTCATGATGGTTTTGTTGTGGTTTATAACAATGCTTGGTTTATTAGTTTCTTTTTAGGAGGGTTTTTGTATTGGGTTTTGTTGAGTTTGAGAAGAAAACTAGGTGAATCTGATGCTATAGAAAGTTGTTTATAGATTCTCATCAAACAATTTTGGTATAATCAAACTTTTCAAGAAGGTACATGATGATGTATGTGTGAATCTTAAATTATAAGATTAAATTATAAGATTTACTCCCTCCGTTTCAAAATAAACGTCATTTAAGATTTTTGTCCTGAGATTAAGGAATGTAATGATATTGTCACTCGATATTGCACTTTTATTAAATTAGTCTACTAAATATTACACTTTTATTAAATTAGTCTACCAAATATTGCATTTTTACTAAATTAGTCTTATCAATGTGTTGAAAATAATGTATAGAGTAATAATTATAGACACAATTGGAAAAATAACAATTATTAAAGTGAGAATGACATTTATTTTAAAATATTTTTTTTTAAAAACGACAGTCATTTTGAAACGAAGGGAGTAAAAGTGAATTATTTTACGGAATAAAAAAAAATATTTCTTTTATGTGTCTTTTAAATTATAATTTAATTTGACAATTTCATACAAAGTTAATTTACATATTCACTAAACATGTGAAAAAGATAAATTAAAAATATTATAAATAATTGAAAAATAATGTAAAATAAATGATAGATGATTACATAACTCGTCATTCACTAAGCATGTGAAAAAGATAAATTAAAAATATAAAACATGTGAAAAAGATAAATTAAAATATTATAAATAATTGAAAAATAATGTAAAATAAATAATAGAAGATTACAGAAAATTTGTGGATACATACTATCGATAAGCTGATTTATTTACCAAATACCTAACCAAGAGAAGTTCAATTTTATTAAGGAAAATTTGATTATTCTTCATATTAAAGAATGATGTCTAAAATTATATGAGAATTCTTTAAATTGTAATTCTCCTCTTGTAAAAGAATGATGTCTAACATTATATAGTAATTCTCTTAAAAAAAAAGAGTGTACTTTTATTTGGAAAAATATCCACTTCTAAAAATTGTTCATTTTTAGACAATTTCAAAAATTGGAGTTACAAAAGACAATTTCAAATTTTAAATTTCTCTCTCTCTCTCTCTCTTTTGTTAGAATTCAATCACGATCTATGGTGAATTCTTCTCAATCTTAATCTCAAAATTGTTATGCAATGACAATGAACAAAAACAAAAACACGTTTAAAGAAGATGAGTATGAACTGCGGAATAACTCTTTGTTCACAACTGTGAAATTTTATTATTACTTTGCAACTGTAAAACTGAGAATATCAAACTTGATTATTACAATGAAAAAGGTTTTCTTCCTATTTATAGATTTAGGTTAACTTGCATCTCAAGCTAAAGCTCAAATTATAAAAGCCCAAAAATATCTAATCTAATATTTCTAAATCAAATCTGATCTTTCTAAATCAAATTTAATCTTTTAAAATAATGAATTACTAATTTAACACACCACCTAATTCATTGTGTCTAAACTATCTACATTCATCATAGACCTTAACTTCATGAACACTTTGATTTGCACTATCTTCGTCATGATGTCTGCAATCTGATTCTCAGTTCTGCAGTGTTCCAAGTTCATCTTCCCTTCTACTACCTGCTCTCGAAGATAATGTAACCTCATTTCGATGTGTTTTCTTCGACCGTGTGCTATTGGATTCTTCGCCAAGTTGATAACTGACATGTTGTCGATCTTCATGGTAATTGCTCCATGACTCTTCGATGTGATTTCTTCAACCAGATTCACCATCCATGTTGCTTGACATGCACAAAGAGAAACAACTATGTATTCTGCTTTGCATGAAGACAATGTCACTACTAGCTCCTTTCTCGAACTTCAAGTAACTGGCGCAACACCTAACATAAACTCATAGCCAGCTGTGAATTTTTTATCCTCAACATCACTACACCAACTAGAGTCGGTGTATTCCACTAACTTGCATTCTTTTCCTTCATCAGTTGTAGGAAACAAAATGCCGTAGTTGAGAGTCCCTTTCAGATACTTCAATATCCTCTTTGTTGTTGTTAGGTGTGATACCTTTGACTCCTGCATGAATCTACTTGCCATACCTACACTGTATGCTAAGTCTGACCTTGTGTGACAAAGGTATCGAAGTGACCCAATAAGTCTTCTATATTAGGTTTGGTCGACATCATCTTCATATGAATCCTTCGACAGTTGCAATCTGGTCTCATCTGGAGTCGAAGTTGGGTTGCAATCTTGCATCTCAAATCTCTTGAGTATTTCGCCTGCATATCTTCTTTGGTGCATCATCAAATCTCTACTACTCTTGTACGATTCGATACTAAGGAAATATGAGAGATTTTCCAAGTATGACATTTCAAACCCCTCACTTAGGCCATGTTTGAAATAGTATAAGTAACAGGTCATTGACATAGAGACATAGTCAGGGCCCAGGCCATCTCCATCGAGCGGCTGGTTTCCATTGCCTTTTCATCTTGAAGTATGAGGAGGTTTTAACTGAATCCTAGTCAGGGCCCAGACCCTGAACGTGAAGAAGTTTATTTTACCCTTTAGTAAAAGACGAAATTGAATCATATTCAGGGAGCACAGACTTGAAACGTGAAGAAGTTTATTTTATCCTTTAGTAAAAGAAGAAACTGAATCATATTCAGGGAGCACAAACCTGAAACGTGAGGAAGATTAATTTACCCTTTAGTGAAAGAAGAAACTAAATCATATTCAGGGAGCACAAACCTGAAACGTGAAGAAGTTTATTTTACCCTTTAGTAAAAGAAGAAGCTGAAGCATATTCAGGGAGCACAGACCTGAAACGTGAAGAAGTTTATTTTACCCTTTAGTAAAAGAAGAAGCTGAATCATGCTTTATCAATTATTTCATCTATTATCCCCAGATAAGCAACAATCTCTTTATTTGAGAGCTTATCCATTTTAGCATTTAATTTCCTTCCGATGATAAGTGGTAGTTCTCTCCCGAGGAACTTATCAGGGCATTTCCATTAAAGTCCATTTATTTTGGCATACAGTCGGTTTTACCCTGTATATTTTCTACATATTCCCGAAGATTCCGTTCGATCCCGTCATGAGGAAAGTTTCCAGAAGCTCGAATATTATTTTTTGCTCAATGCTCTAGCATTCTGTTTACTTGATCCTACAGTCGTGCGGATCCCAGTTTTACCTTTTATCCCAAAGTATCAGTCGGTCATGCCTGAACCTGTTGGACAATTACTCTCGGATATTCTCCAGCGGAGGCTGTCTCTTCGGTGCTATCTCCAATTGAGGACCCCGTCTCACCGTTTATTTCTAACGTGACAATTGGTCGTGCTCGCACCAGTTGGCCATCACTTTAGAATTCCCCAGTGTCGCGCTGTTTCCCTAGTGCGTCGTATTCCCCAGTACAGTTACTCGTCACGTCTGTCCCTTGTGTCGTCGTGACGTCTGCATCCTTACATTTATCATTGTCATCATACACATCATATTAGATTCATAACATTGCTAACATTATAATTCGGTTTGTTTTGTCTATAGCATTACATATCACTGCATCTAAGGGCAAAATTTTCGGTTATTTGTATTTAAATCCCTTTCACCATGATTTCTCGAGCCTTCGTCGCTCAGATTATCCAGTGAAGCTAATTAAATAGGGGCAACTGTAATACCCCAAATTTTACCCTTAGATTAGCCGTTTCAGTTCGCATTCCATCTCATTCTGTATTATATTTTATCTAGCCACTAATCGGTTTGCCCAGTCCGTTGGTTTTGCAGGAAAAATCACATTGTGTGCAGTTTAATTAGTGAAGGACAAAACGGTCATTAATTTGCATCCTGTTGGCAATTTATGAAGCTGAGTCGCCATCAGGAGTTCTTCAAGGGATTAGGGTTTCCGTCTCCGAGTCACGTGACTTATTTGAGGATGAGCTGAATTTTTACGACAGTTTGGACGTTAGATTTCTCGTGACACGGCACAGTTTATTCAAGAGCAGAGATTCATTTGCCGGTTGGATTTCAGAAATATTGTTTGATTTTTGAACCATATGGAGCTGAATGTGTCGAGATATCAGTGGATCCGGGTTAAATCGGTGCGATAATTTGCTTTGTGGAGTTTATTTTAACATACACACGTTTTTCTGCTTCCTGCTACCTACTAGTCGATTTTGAAGAAAGCAGTGGCATTTCGGTTCGTGTGGAATGTATCATGAACATCTGTGGGTTTGATAATGATTATTAGTCTAATTAATTTGCAAAGGGATTTGTTTGAACTCAACGGTTACGTCGGATGATCAATTGTCGAACTCAAAGTTTGGAACGTCGAAGCTTAGTCGGATAATTTTCATTGGTTTGAATTTAATCAGACTAATTTATTTGGATGACGTTGATCAGTTGAACTTAATCGAATAAATTTAATTAAGTGCATTCAGTTGATTGAGTTTAATCAGGCAATTCTAATCGGAGAAGTTGAATCGAGAAATAAGGTCGGTTTGTTGAAAATGGAATTTATTTATTAAATTCTATATTTTTTTACAAGGTACAAGAAATAACGGAAGAATTGAATTTATTTATTAAATTCTATTTTTACAAAAGAAATTCAATTACAAAATAGATTCCTAATTGTTCTAAAAGTGCCTTCGGACCGATTCTTCGACTTTTATTTCTCCGAACCTGCAAAGAAAGATCAACAACATATCAATCAATTTTTAAATGGTTAGAAAAATTGGTTTTATTGGTCCCGATACCCTCAGTAAAAGCTCATCATCAGGTACGTCGGGAGGGCAACAACGACGAGGTCGTCGCCAGCTCTCGACTTTTATTTTTCTGGCCTCGGCACAAAACCCGGCAGCATCTGTTCATTCGAGCCAGAAGAGAGAAAAAGTTATTTTAAAAAGTGATTTCAAGAAAAGTGATTGTTGGAAAAGTGATTACGAAAAAAGTGCTTTTGGAAAAAGCACTTATTTCTTGGAAAAATGAATTTTGCCAAACAAGCCACTAACAAGATTTCTCAAGAATTTCTGAAGTCAACAGATCAAGCAACAAGTAACAAAGTCCTGAAAAAGCTGCAAACGAAATGCAACAAAGATCA